TTGCACTATCAGCTAACGCCAAACCGTCTTTCCTCGACTACATGGGAAACAGCGGGAGGATTACAACCTTTGCCACCGGTTTCGGCAGAACCACCTGCTAACCCAGACCCTCCAGCAGAACCTCTCGCAGAACCGGTGCACACCCGCGGCTGCTAATCAGTTAATTTCTAGGTTCTGGTGCATTTTTCTCGTTCTAAGCTTTAGTTAAACGTTGTACAATGCGTTTCGTGTCTTTTCTCCAATGTTTGGGTTATTTGGTTTTCTTGCAAGTTTTGCTGCTACCTTGTTTAGCATATTCAATGTTCCACGTGTCCCTAGGGCATAATTTTCGTTTTTCCTTTGCCTCCTTTTGTTGTTTGTACACGTTTTTCATTTTAGTTGGTCCTTTTCCTTTTTTTTGTTTGGAATGAAATATTTTTGTTTGTGTCTGCGGTCTGGGACCGCTCGTCTCCGGGAGGTGGTTTTCTTTCGGAAAACATTTTTTGGGGTATACGGTCCAGGACCTTTCGGCTCTTCGACCCGGGTTTTTGTTTAAAACCAAGTATTAGTGTATGCGTCCGGGACCGTTTGGCTCTGTGGGCCTGTTCTTTGTTCGGGACGAATTTTTGTTTGTTCGGCTCCAGGAGTCGGTTTTCTTTTCTGTGGAACGAAATATTATTGTGTTAGCGGTCTGAGACCGTTCGGCTCAGGGAGCCGGTTTTGGTCATATACGGTCCGGGACCGTTTAGCTTTGAAGGAGAAACAAGGCGTTGCCGTTGTCACCGCTGCTCTTACTTCTGTTTGCAACGTTCTTCAGAAGCCGGAAGCTGTGTATGACCTTAGGAGGCTTCTGCTTAGACACCCAGATTATTTCCATGCGAGCAGTTTACATAATCATGTTGATTTCTGGGAGGATCTCATTTTTTTAACTGGTTATCCCTGTCCTGAAGTTACTTTACTTGCTACAGACAATCCGAGAGGGAGTGAGGCTTGATAGTTTCTTACGTCATTTCAAGGGCAACTTCAAAGGAAAACGTTATGACTTGGCTTTTCCGCAAATTTCTTTTTTCCAGAAATCTCCTTGTTGCCATCAGTTAAGGTGACTCGACCCAGTTATTTTGTTTGGGTACCATCCTACTTTGAAGCTCTCTAGTATCCCCATCTTTACTCTGATCCTAACATATAGCATGGATAACATATACATCAATCTACAATACAGCATAAAATTTTTGGCGATCGAGTAAATGTCACGTGGTTATAGTGCCACGCCTCTCTGGGGTCCGAGTCGAAATTCTGCTGTTGCCGGCATTTTTGTCGTCAAAATCTATCGGCTATATATAGTGCGCATTAGTGTCTTGCGTTGAAGAGAGTTTAAACAAAATAGCAAAGACCCAATGCGAGAAATTCAGCGGTTTTTAAATTTGTATAGGTAATAGCATGATTTGTAGTGATATTTGGCATAAATACCACGAGTGATATTTCAAAATTGTTATACGAAATTTCACGAGCCGTTAGGCGAGTGAAATTTGAGACAATTTTGAAATATCACAAGTAGTATTTATGCCTAATATCACGTACAAATCAAGCTATTATTTGTTTATACTACTACCCACAGAAGGTTTGTAATTTTCACAGCAAATTTATGCAACAGGATTAATTAAAGTTAATGTGATAACCATAAACCCGCCTTTACCAGTAATAGAACCAGCTCACTTCCTTTCAGGGGTTACTTCCTGCATGTGACCCCTGTCACACTAATTGTTTCGCTCAGCCAATTAGATGTCAGCTATCACAGTTGATGCCTATATTTTCGCGCCTAGCTCAGCAAAATAGCACTTCATATTCTTCTCTTCGTCGAACAAAATCCCATCCCACCCTCCCTTATCACTGTTTGATTCTGTCTGCTGGTTTTCCTAAGGTTTTATAAATGAGGTCCTTTCTCTTGCTTAAAAGTTAAGCAGCTCCTTATACGTGTTGCAGTCATAAGAACTACTGATCTTTGTTGTTTATACTTTGAATCAATTGGCAATTATCAAGAAGATATGGCAGAAAAGAGGTGAGGTTTCTGCTGAGGGGAATCATTCTACCAGGCATCCCAACATGCTTGTGCACTTAGTTACTTTTGGCCTTATTTTGATTATTAAGTTGATAAAAGTTAAATTGTCATTTACTTACAACTTGTATTATTATATTTTCGTCTAACCTCTCTCCCTCGAGGTTCATGTTAAGCGTCTGGCTCTGCTTTCGGGAGGGTTCAGGTTTCCCTCAAAAATAATTGAGGGTTTTTCCTGACGGGCAGCAGACACGCATTTCTAACTTAAATTAGTGATGACATCTGTATTGAGAGTTGTTGGCAATTAATAAACATGGGTTCGGGATGAAGTGCTCCCATACAGGTCACACTTTGCCCCATAGACTCTTGTTACTCCTTAAACCGGAGAATTAGACATCTAGAGAGGTCTTTCCACCTCTCCAGTACCCAAGGGGGATTATCACCTCCACTCATAACCTTGGGGGATTA